GCAATTGAGGTTTCGTAGTTGCAAATATGTACAGTGTCAAGGAAATCGGGGTCTTCGGGATTGTCAATTAGGCAGCTGACGTCGCTGCGGGAGCTGGAGCCTTCCGTGGGGGAAATATTCGGAACCCGCTCATTTGATGTTCCGCTTTATTTGACCCTTCGGAGCCGATTCGAGTACGGGCACCCCCGGCTAGCTAGCCGGAGTGAGACCTTGGAATTTGGAAGCTGTCGGTAAGGTAGGGGTCCGGAGCCTTTGGCCAAGTTTCGCCGATGAAACTGTCCAAAGTTCACCAGACCTTAGCATTGATCCCATCTACTTAGTCGCCGGCCTTCCTATTTTGCAGAAGAGACCTAATGGCCGTGTTGCTCACTGAATGCACTTCGAAGCCGAGTCACGCTGGGGAGCATTTGTTGCTGAATGCGGAAGGAGTCCCCTGTCTGCTTACCTAAGGACGAAAACAGGCGGTTGTGGGGCAGCAGCGGGCACTTTGAGTGGCTCCCAGAGCAGACGTTAGCGCTCCAAGCTTGCAGTTTCCAGGGCAACGGTACGCGAGAAGAAGGTCAACAGCGACAGTAACACACCAACAACTGAACCCGGTCCTTTCACTCCACACCCAAAAGTTTACCGTTCGTCTCAACGGCGCATCATCCCGACACCTCTGATCCGTGTGTGAGTTGCTACGCCGGTCTGCCTTCATTTGGCATTTCAATTGCTTCGTTTTGGTCTTTGACTGCCGGGAACTGTTTGTTCAGCATTTTCCCCCCCATTCGCACATGTACTCGCTGCTGCGAAACTTGTAAGTGTTTTGCGTCCCCCCTTCATTTCGTTGCTACCTACCTGCCCTTCGTTTTGTTTCGGCTCCTGCACTTGTTGCGGTCAGCGGAAGGTGCCCGGGTCACACTCTTCACTCTTCTTTCCGCAACTTCAGTCCGTCTTTCTTTGCACTTTTCCCACTAGCGGTTTTCGCTCGCCTCCTCCAATGTGCTGACGATCGTGCCATTCTCAGGTCCCTCCTCTCCATCACCCAGGGACGATCCTGATCCTCGCATAACAACTTCTCTTGCTCCCGAGAGCTCGCATCTCTCTCGAGACCGCATCGACACACGAGACGCGCGCGGCCACAGCCATGGCCCATAGACTGGTGGCTAAAGGGGGCGTCGATTTGGAGGCCTTGTCGCCTAGGGACGCTAACGCTCAACGTATGCCAAAGGCGATCGAAATGAAGACGACGAAGCCAGTCGCCCAGCTCAAGGCGGCCAAGGACAAGGAGCCGCCGCCGCAACCCCCCGCCGCTGTCGACGAGCCTCCGAGCTCAGACCGTCCCAATGGCGCCGTCTACCAGGTTGGCAGGATGCTCGGCAAGGGCGGTTTCGCCGTGTGCTACCAGGGATATCTCATGCCGGAGCGCAAGAAGTATGCCTTGAAGATTGTCAGGAGCCAGATGCCCTCCAAGATGATGCAGAAGGTCAGCAGCATGTCGCGCGGTAATTTAACTTTGAGTTCTAACGTCTTGCGCAGTTCCAAACTGAGCTTCAGATTCACTCCAAGATGAACCAGAAGAACATTGTTCAATTCTTCAGGGCATTCTCTTTCCACGACTGCATGTACTTGGTCCTCGAGCTCTGCACCAATGGCTCTCTCATGGACATGGTCAAGAAGCGCAAGGGTCTGACCGAGCCCGAAGTCCGTTTCTACTCTGTTCAAGTCGCTGGCGCCATTAAGTACATGCACGGGAAGGGAATCATTCACCGCGATTTGAAGATGGGAAACATCTTCTTGGACCACAGAATGAATGCTAAGGTCGGAGACTTTGGATTGGCTGCGTTGCTGGTTACTGGCCGGGACATGCAAACCATAAGAAGGACCACTTTGTGCGGCACACCCAACTACATTGCCCCCGAGATTCTCCAGAAGGGAAAGAAGGGACATGACCACATGGTTGACATTTGGAGTCTGGGTATCATCATGTTAGTCTTGCCGACGATGATCTGCGTGGAAAAGTGCTGACAGATACAGGTTCGCCATGTTGACATCCAAGCCGCCTTTCCAGTCCACGAGCACCGAGGAAATCTACCGCCGCGCGAGAGAACGCGACTACGAATGGCCGAACCCAGAAACTTCGTCCAAGTTCATCAGCCAAGAGGCCAAGGACTGCGTTGCTACGATGCTCGAGGACGCTGATATGAGACCCGACCCTGACATCATTGTTCAACACCCATTCTTCACCTGTGGCTACATGCCTGTGGAAGAGGACATGACCACCAGACTACTGACACTGCCACCCGATGGCTCGGAATTCTACGCGACCCGCATGAGCTCCAACCTGCAGGCAATCACCCAAAGAAACCATGAAGACATGTGCAGAGAATGTGGAGTTGGACCTTGGACACCCGTGCAGGTGGTTCACACCCAAACCTGGAAAGAGATGGCGGCCGAGGAGAAGTCTGGCTTGACGCCAATGATTCCCCTTGGTGAGGATGTTGTCTACAGACCGTTCGATGACTGGCTGGCCGAGAAGCGACAGGCGAGCGAGAGGCGTCAAGCACGCGCACTCGCTGCTTCGTCATCTTCCCGCTCCGAGAGCACGAGAGAGCAACAGCAGCTTGCTGCTTCGCAGACTGCACCATCCGGCTTGCTGCGCCAGCCTCCTCAGAGCTTTGCTGCTCAGCAAAGAGCACAAAACCGGCCTCCGGCTATGGCTAGCAGCACCCGATCACGACCTCCACCAGAAGCGTCTTCACAGCCTGCTGAACCTGTGCGGCCGAGATCCGTCAGACAACAATCCGCGCCGGAACCTCAAAGGACAAACCAAATGTCTGAGGCGCCATTGAGAAAGGCGACTGCCAGTCGACGGACGCCGCTACCGACGAGCCAGTCCACAAGCGCCCTCCCTAGTCAGGCTATGGTGCCGCAGTCCTCCAGCCAGCCGACCGTCACAATGACTGGTCTGATGGAGAACTTGAAGATCTCATCCGATAAGACGGAAATGGCTTCGCTCTTCAGCCCATCAGAACGCCCAGAGCCGGTGGCTAGCTCAAAACCGGATGTTGTGTTGGAGCGTCTTCGTCGACTTCAGGGCGAGTTGGAGCGTGCTTTGAACGCTCGCACGATGGCGATTATCTCGTCCAAGGACGTCACCCCCCCTCACCCCAACGTTGTTGTGAAGTGGGTAGATTACACGAACAAGTTCGGCCTTGGCTACATCCTGAACGACGGTGGCGTTGGCTGCATCCTGCGCGATATCCCCACTACTGAGAGCAGCAAGACCCTCACACTTCCCTCGGCGTGCATGCTCGTCCGTGATGCCGAGAGGCATATCGAGCGACGGCATGACGAGACATACCCTGAGAGACATCAGCCTTTGCCGCCTGGACAGGACATTCACTTCTACGAGAACAACGGCGAAACGGGCTTGGCTCGAGTTTCGGTTTCCTCGAAGCAGTTCCGCGTACCGGTTTATGAGGACGGTACCCCTGGCAAGCTGAACCCCGGAAGGGATGTTTATGAGCACCGCAAGAGGGAGAGAGTCATCCTGTGGAAGAAGTTTGCAAACTACATGATTGCTTATGGCAGAGATGAGGCAGTCCCTGCCGAGGAGACGCCCATTCGCTCCTCCGAGTTCACTGTCAACAACTCTCAGCCGTCGGACTTGGTTACCTTCTACCAACGCTTTGGTGATGTTGGTTGCTGGGTCTTTGGCGACGGGCATCTTCAGGTTAGTTTCCTACCGTGTTTCGATGACCTGACTAGACTAACAAACTGCAGTTCAACTTTCCTGACCATACCAAGATTGTTCTAAACGCTGCTGGAACATGGTGCCACTTCTGGCATCTCCCTATGGATGCGGCTCATAATCTGGCAACCACTGGCAGTCTGGGAGCTGCCGCGCTTGATGAAAGGGCTATGCTGTCATATCCTCTGCAAACGCTACTCAATTTCCAGACGAAGCCTTCATCAAGTCGGGCTACTCGCCCTACCACCACCTCCCGCCGCCGACCCGAAATTCCCGTTGAACTCCAGGGAATTCCGGCCGCCAACGACTTCCGTCGGAAGATTGAGTTCATCAAGAACGCCGTCAAGGAGTGGACGACCAACGGTGGCTTGGGCAACAGCGCCATGGACCGCGAGCACCGTCTGCGCTGGGGCGGCCACCGCGAGACGGTCATGGGCAACACCCCTATCAAAGGTGTTTGGGTTACTGTCGGAGCTCGCTGGGGCGACACCAGACTGTCGGCTTACATTGACCCGACCAACCCCATGGAGATGGGAGAGGAGATTGACGAATCAAAGAAAAGACGTCACTGAAAGACAGAAGTTCTGGCACGCCCAGAGCAAGAGAGGACTCTGCATTGTTACGCATGTTTTATGGATAATTACATTTCAGCCAGTCCGGCTCGCCGGCTGGTGCTCACGAGATCATGCCATGGTCAACAAGACGAGGGATGGCTTTTGGGTTGGGCATCTTGGGAGTTTGAGGGCTTTGCGGACATAGCAATGGCGTCGTGGGAGCACAATACACTGTTACGAGTATCTACGCAGCGCTGTTAATTCCTTGGTTTTTTTCTGATGTCTGTTAACATGCAACCTCGTTGATGTTCTCTTGTGTGGGTTGTAGCTGCCGTTGCCACGTCGTTGACTGACGGTGTTAGTCGGAGGAGCTTAGCGCCCACCTTCCAAACTTTGGGCCTCAATGCTTGATCAGAAGGAACGAAGACGGCTGCTTCTCGACTTGCCAGCTTGAGTTGTAGGCAACAGCGACTGTCATGGATCAGGAGCAACCGCTTCTTTATCAAAAATTCTCGCACATTTCCGCAACGTCACCCAAGCATCCAACATCACCATTGACATCCATTGCGGACGTCAGTCACGGTATTGCAATCGTTGCATCATCACCACAATCGCTCAACATACAGTCGCTCAGCCAACAGTTTTCAACTTCATTCCCGCTGCTTCTCACCAGGCTCTAGCCGTTCTGGCTTTGCCCTCTTCGTTACCTCATCATGGCTTCCTCATCGTCATCGCTGTTGCCATCACCTCCGTTACCATCCTCTTCCGCCTCTGCTCCCGATTCGCCCTCGCTAATACTGCACGCGTCGTCTCCGCCAACTTATCCACACTTTGGTTCCGCCGTTCCGATCATACTCTGGAATATTGATACCAATACTTGTCATACCTTTAATGAGGACCCGCCGGAATACATCACTCTCTCACACAGCCACGAAGAAGACACCGAAGAAGATATCGAGACCTTGAGACTCGACTTCATAACATACGTGGCAAAAGAGCATTGTATTAGTTACGCCTGGCTTGATCCACATTGCATGGGCCAGACACAGGACGAGATTAGTCGTTCTGTTGAGTCCATGTTCAAGTACTACCAGGGAGCCAGGTTCTGCTGCGTGTGGCTTCGCGGCCTGGGCATTTAGAATGTGTGGGACCAATCTTGCCATCCGTGTTTCACTGAAAGCTGGTTACTTCAGAATCTGCTGGCGTCCACATGCATCCAAGTCTACGGCGGAGAACGATTATTTATAGGACAGATCACAAAGATGACAACGCAAGAATCTCGAGAAGACCCGGAGGACCGCGTCCTATGTCGCCTCGCGAACAGCATGCGGCTTCCACTCACTGTCTTGTCATATCTATGGCCCGAGATACACTCTCGTCACACCGTTGCTCAGAAAATGAGCTGGGCAGCTGGACGAAGAACACGGGAGCCCGAAGATAAGGCATACTCGCTATTGGGAATCCTCGATGCGAGTGTTCCGGTATCATACCCTGATCAGAACGCCTTCAGAAAGCTGCAGCAGAACGTCGTCAGCAGGCATCCAAAAGACCAGTCAGTATTTGCCTGGGCTCTCGGCAGTTGGCAGCCTAGTACAATCAAAGGAGGTTTGTGGGCAGAATCGCCAGACGAATTCGCCGGCTGTAAACGCGTCCTCCTCAAAGACGAAAATCCAGCCGTTGACGGATCGCTTATGCAATTAACTCCCCGACACTCGCTCTTCCTATCAGCGCCCATCGTGATGTCGGAGTCAGACTCCCACCGTCACCCATACATGCTAATCAACTGTGCGATCGAAGCCCTTAATGGCAAGCTTGTCTCTATCGGTATCCCGCTATGTCAAAGCGGTGACAAAGAATACTCCCGGCCGGGAGGAATCGCTCCGAGACCTCTTCCCTCTTCTCCGCACCCTCAGTACACGCACAACATCGAGATCATCCCTAGTGCGGGCCTTCATGGGAAACGGCGATTTTCACTGGCCTTTGATCCAGAATTGGGAGATATCCAGCATTGGTTCACCGCCATTGGCCGTATCGCGAATTACCGGCTAGTCCATGACGAGGAGAATGGTCAGATTTGGCACTTTGAGTCCTATCCGGGCTCGGAAGCACCCACGCAAGAAATACTTCATATACAAATTGGAAAGTCGAGTCTGACCATGGACTTTTTGGCCATCAAGCTCGAGTTGAGTTGGGGTTTACGCACCTGCCAGTGGGATATCACAGCCTGGCAGGCTGCTCTCACGAGAGGAAATTTCCAGAACTACCGGAAGCTCTTCTTCTACTACGGTTCCGTACTTCGAGTGAGGCGACGGGATGATGGGGTGCTTTATATCGCAAAAGACTAAGAGCCCTCGCGGAACAGTACCGGAGACGAGACCGCCGAGGGGAGAGGCCTCGAGATTAGGTTTGGATTGAAGGATGGCGCCGACTAGGAGAACGATGTCGAAGAAGGAGGGCAACTTGGGAGCACATTCGAGTCTACAGGGCAACTGGTCGATAACGAACACGGGCGGCGACCCAGGTATGGCTTTGAAACCGACGCCGACTAGGAGGACGACACAAGCGAGGGCGACAATACCAATGAGGCTAGGACAGCATAGATAGGACCAACCATGATGCCGGAAATGCCGGCAGCAAGACCGAAAAAGACATGCCGCGTAGACAGCGTTTGCTATTTAGATAGTGTATAAGAGCAACCATCAGCGGTTGGTGCGAGCGAGTATGCAATCGATCGCAATTCTCATTCAAAACATGTGTCTCTTATCTTTCCACGGATTGCTAGTCGCCATTAATGTGAGAAGATCGAAGCCATTCGTGGTCGTTGCAGTGATCCTCGTACGCATCATGCCAAAGATGAATACATTGCCATCACAGAATGACGGCGACGTCAACCCACGGGCAAGTCAAGTCTCCTAGACCTTTAGGTGGTCGCTTATAGACAAGCAGTTAGCTGGATAGAGCAGCCGCTGTGTAGTTAAGTCAACCACAGCCACCAAGCAGTCAGTTTAGTTCCCGCCGTGCGCCAAGGACAGAACTTTGACAATGTATTCATGTGCAATTTAAACGATATCTAAGGGCCTTTACTATCGCTTAATGTTATACTTTTAGTGTTGCTGCCTATTGTGGGCTTTAACTATGTTTAACTCCTCCTACTCTTAGTGACAGCTTCTATGAGAATAACTAAATCAGTTTACTTCTATATAAACTTCTCTATATTTAGTTAAATCTTGATTCTGTGGCTTCCTGCTCCACTTCGTCTCGTTGGTGTCCCCATAGGACCATTCTTTGTGATTGCTAATCTCGCTGGCGTTGTCTCACTGCTGCCGTGATAGTCACCTTACGCTTCCTTCATCACCACATACGACCATACCCACTGGAAAACTCGGGATCCCGTCCGCTCTCCCATAGATAAGCCAGTGAGGGCTGGATCAGTAGTTGGGTCGGTGACGACCAGCGAATACCCGGTGTTGTATGTCTTTTTGGTGTTTTGACCTTCGGTTTTGTAGCTCTGTTGAGGGCTGTGTATAGAAGAGCAACGATAACCCCGAACGAAGAGGCCCCCCTCCTCTACTTAGACTCTATCCCTAGGGTGGCTTCAGAATGCAGTATCTAATGTGGATTTGTAGACTTTTTCTTATACTGGGTGGAGTGTTCCTCAGCTCTTCGCAACTCTATCTGAGGGCGAAGTGCAATAGGGTGTGGGAGTGTTTTATATCACAAAGGGTTATATTTTAGCTTCAACCTCGCTCATTGTCTACTTCTCAGACATTTACATAAGTAGGTATAGAACGCGGACGTCGTTAGAAATCTACATCAGAACAAAACCTCAGCATCCACTTTTGCCCTTCGCGATCCCCACCGCGGGATATCCTTCAGGACGAAATGATGAGTCGACATGTATTCACCATCCTTCAAGAGATCCTGTAAACACTGGAAGCTTAAAAAAGTCGAAAGAGGCTTTTACAAACTTTTTCCGCATGCAGAAATCACCGTACCTACTAATAAAAAGCTCGGGGTCCCGCCCGCTCTCCCACAAACCACCAGCCATTCAGCGCTAGGTTAGCAGCTGATAACTATGCCTCGTGACATGTTGTATCCGTAAATAGATAAGGTAAACAGATAAATGCGGCCTCGCATACTGGAGCTAAACTGACGACTCCTCTCTCTCTCTTCTACCGCTATTAATCAGGAGTTTTACTAGTTAGGTAGTGTTATTTAGCTATCTAGGTAGTATCTATATATATATATATATATATATATGTATTCTATAGCTCTTCTAAAGTAACTATATTTCCTGTTTTCATCTTCGTTATTATTATTATCTATTATCGTTATTATTATTATTATCGTCTCTACTATCGTTTTTTTTTTTTTTTTTTTTTTTTTTTTTTTTTTTTTTTTTTTTTTTTTTTTTTTTTTTTTTTTTTTTTTTTTTTTTTTTTTTTTTTTTTTTTTTTTTTTTTTTTTTTTTTTTTTTTTTTTTTTTTTTTTTTTTTTTTTTTTTTTTTTTTTTTTTTTTTTTTTTTTTTTTTTTTTTTTTTTTTTTTTTTTTTTTTTTTTTTTTTTTTTTTTTTTTTTTTTTTTTTTTTTTTTTTTTTTTTTTTTTTTTTTTTTTTTTTTTTTTTTTTTTTTTTTTTTTTTTTTTTTTTTTTTTTTTTTTTTTTTTTTTTTTTTTTTTTTTTTTTTTTTTTTTTTTTTTTTTTTTTTTTTTTTTTTTTTTTTTTTTTTTTTTTTTTTTTTTTTTTTTTTTTTTTTTTTTTTTTTTTTTTTTTTTTTTTTTTTTTTTTTTTTTTCTATCGTTCTCTCTATAATTACAGATTATAGGGGACGCTACCCAACTAGCAAAACTCTTGATCAGTATCTCCAACCGCATTCGAACCTGTCCCTTCTAAAGCGTCTTTCACCTCGATCCATGAAATCATGCTCAATCCAATGATGCGGTGGGAAGAAAGGAGAATCCCAAGGCGGATCAAACGGATGACATGAAAATGAATGACGTGAATACGAATGACGTGGAAACGGATGATGTGATCACAGAGGAGGTGGTGGCGTTAGAGGGGAAAACGAACAATGTGACGGAGGCGGAAACACCGGGGAAGGAGGTCGCGAATGCTCATAGAAGAAAGGATGACCCGGGGGCAGAGGATGGCCGTTATAGGTAATTGTAGGGGCATGTGAACAGTCCGAAAGCGAATGTTGGGGAGACGGAGGTCGACAAGGCGGAGGTTGATAAGACGGAGGTTGATAAGACGGAGGTCGATAGGGCGGAATTTGGACTGGCGGAGGTTGTAGAGGATACGGCACCGGCCGGGTCACTTCCACCGGCCGGGTCGGCGACGACTGTTCCCGACTGGGCCCGCAACAGGAACCGGCCCCTCCAGGGGTCAAAGGTATCTACCTAAGGTAAGGTACGTTGGTCAGGTACGTAGGTAAGGTAGGATAAGAAAGAGTGGGTCGGTACACGAGGGTGCCCCTGCTTTTAGAACGAAGCGAGCAGGGGGCTCCCCTGGGAAGTGAAGTACTTATTCCAACGCCTTTCCACCTCTTCTCACTTTTCTCACGTATCAAGACCAACAAGGCGTACCATACCGCCTGCTTCTTTTCTAAAAAGGCCTTCTCAACACCCACCGCATCATCATGCCTACTACCTCGACTACTTTCCCTTCCTATCAAGAGCGGCTAGATGCGGGTGCAATAACCCTCACCCCCGACGCAGCCCGCATCTTTTGGAAGCTCCAAGGACCGCTGTCAACCTGCGTCTTCGTCGTGGAGGATCACCGCAACATGGAGTCAGCTCGCGAGCCCTACGCCCGCCAGGATTCCTGGCACCCTGTCTCCCAGGCATCGGTCACGGAACCCAAAATCGGGTCCATCGCCGTGACTGTGGACGCCCTGCGGCAGTGGCAAGAGAACTGGCTCGAGCTGCATGAGCGACATGCAGACCCCGACGATGACGATTGCGTCTTTGGGAAGCTAGATCCAGAGTTGTACGCTCAGTCGGATGATGAGGAGGAGAACGACGAAGACAATGAGGAAGACGGACTGGAACTTCTGCGGTGCTGCGGTACAGACCGACCCGCCAAAGGGAAGTCCCTGATTGTCAAACCTTCGGATGTTTCAAAGGGATATGTCACGGTCCATGACTACATCTCAGCAGTCCACCCGTGGCTGATGGGTATTAGGGAAGAGATTATCCAAGCGGATAACGTGTGGGGAGACAGGACGGCAAAGGACTACGAAAGGCTGGTGGTCGAGTACAACATTCCGCGAACTTTGATGATCATGGACGAAGACAGGTTTCTCATGGCAAACGGCTCAAAGCAAAGGCCTTCTGCAGTCAGTACCACTTCATCCGGTATTGATTGGGCCGCAGTGGCGCGGGAACCTCCAAACTATAAGGGCATGTACATCCCCAACCTAGACACTATGCCCAAGCACCTGCTGCCCAAGGACTTGCAGTAGGGCGCGTCTGGCTGCTGGTGGGATTGGGGGGGCGAATACGACTTCAAAGATTTCTTGGGGCGATTCGGCCATGCAAATCGATGCACATGGTAGCATATCTGCCTCGTCAATAAGATAAACGCCAAGATATAGTCACGCAATAGCAAGAACCAACCAAGTCACGTCCAGTGCACATAGAACAGGGCAAACAGACACAGATCTCAGCGCAGCAAATTGACATCACTCAATGAATGAATGCATCAAGCCGAAAAATCCTGTCTTGATATTCTCGGCTATTCCTATGATTCTATCCAGGCCTATTGCCCCATTCTTACCCTCAACATATAGTTCTCAAAGTGACCAGATCAAAGGCTTTGTGTGAGCCTTCTTAGCAGTATTTGCAAGCTCCAGGAGGGCAATACCCATGGCTGCATGTGAACTCGCACAGATCCACATAGTAGGCATTGTCCGGGCCTCCGGCAACATTGTCATCCGGGCAGCCGTGGCGATCAGTCAACTCCGGGATCGCCGCGGGCTCGGACGCAGGGCCAGTACAAACACAGACACCCGCGGGACAATGATTGAAATCACAGCTGTATGAGCAGAGACCTATCAAGTTGTCCGACACCCCCTCGGCTCTCGTGCCCCCCGTACAGGCCGGGGAGGCCGCAGATGACGTAGAGATTCCCGCGGTGCTCGTCGTGCCTGTAGCTGTTGCGGCCGTCGTCGTAGGTGCGTTAGGAGTTCCCGGCGTGAACGTGAACACCGGTATTGAGGTGCCTTGCGGCGGCAGCGCTGAGGTAGTGCAGTTGCCGAGTTGACACTTGCCCAGGCCGCAGAAGTCGGGGCCAGTGCCGCACTCGCCGTTCATGTTACAACAGTCTCCCCACTTGCCGGCACACTGCTGCATTCCATGAGCCAGGCCGCACTTCCCGTCGGTGGTATACACGGTGTGGCCAGGGCAGAGGCCCTCATAACAGGTACCGTCAGCGCAGTCCTCACTTATTTACAGTTAGTCTCTCAGGTATACGAGCGAGTAGAAGGATAGTGTGAGAATAATCCTATTATTCAGGGTATATTACTTACAGCGTTATGCCACAAGTCCAGGTCTCTGAGTTACAGCAAGGAAAGTCAGAGTAGGCGCAGGAGGCATGCCCGAAATGGGGACCGCAGCGGCCGTCTTTGTTTCGCAGTGGTTCTATCCCTGATGAGATCAATCTTGTTAGTATTATTACCCAGCAATATACGATTAAGTCTAGTACACTGAGGTGGGAGTTATCTTACAGCCATCAGTGCAATATTCAGTATTAGGCTGAATATTGCTGCAGTCGTCGTTGATCTCTGGGTTCAGCTTGAAGAAGGTCTCGATGTCAATCCAGTGGAAGTCGGCTAGTTCTGTGCAGGTGTAGTAGTTGACCTCCTCATCCGTCTCACCCCAGGAGCGGCAGACAACCTCCCCAGGGAGCGCCTCGCCGATATCTCGGGTGACTAGAGGAGTAACGTAAGGCCGCTCCCCCGCGGTAGGCGACGGAAAGTTTGCAAGGTCGCGCTTCGCTACCCAGGTAGCAGGCTGGCACTCGTCTGCTGCTTCCCCCAGCGGGAGAAGCGCAAGCACGTGGGCCACTGCTGAAAGAGATGAGAATTGCATTGTGCGAAAGTGCTCTAAGCAAGATCTGCAGAAGGCAAAGCTTAGATGTCAAAATAAATAGGAGTAAGTTCATGAGGCCTTCGAGAGGGGGGCCCAGAGATGTGGAAGTACCAAAGGAGTGAACATGGAGAAGACGAACATCGTGTCCATCCAAGCAACAGAATACCCTAGTCGACGAGGAGCAAAGTTTTCCCACCGGAAACAATGCAGAGCATCCTATGTGAGGTGCCTGAAATTTGAACAGCTTCTCCTGAAACTCATATTCGTATTTACGACGGTTAGTTAATTTCCATGGGCGGTTTGATGAGTCTCAGCCGCGCGACCCGATGGGAAAATGCAGAAAAGTAAGGCTAGACTACGGTTGGAAAGTTCTCACTGAAAAAACTCGACATGTCTTCACCTTCACGCCCAATAGGGCAAATGCGGACCCTCAGGATCAGACATGGACCCTAGAGGTTCCATTCGAGACGAGCTGGACAGTCATGTACCAACCAACAGGTTTCTGCTTTTGTCACTTACGCCGAGCGACGATGGGTCGCTTAGAAAGATTCAGGGCGGGTCTATCCGTAATTTGTTGCCTTACTGATTAGCTGCGCCGCAGAAGGCCGGTCTCGCCGTCTGTGCCGCAGGAAGCGCCGGATTTCTGCCTAGAAGTGAGTTGCTTCAGTTCCAAAGATCTCAGAATTCATGTAAGAATGGTACCATATGTGGATAACGAGATGCAAATGGATTATGGGCCCAACGCGCATGGTGTGTTGACCGTTGGTGATGAGGTTGCCCGAGTCTAACCTCAACTATGAGATGGGTGACAATGTCGGACGGACGGAATGAGTCGACGCGCTGAGATAATAAAACATGTAAGTGAGTCTTCTTCACGATGCATTGCATTTCAAAGTCAATCATCAGTGTGCATTCTCATCTGTCTGACCTCGTTCACTCATTCATTCATTCATTCCTTCGATTTCTATTCTTTTGTTTAGTGCGACTTGGGTCGCCCGCAAGCCGCCATTGAGATGGCCTCCGCGCGGACCTATCTATACGTCGTCCTGACAACTCTCATTCTTCCACTCTTTTACTCCCATGACAAGTCACAAGTTCTTGGACAGTTCATTCAGGGCTATCAGTTCATTCCTGTCAATCAAGGTGGCCAGCCGATAACATTCTGGCGGCCAGCCATCAATGCCAATCCGGTCCCTGTGATCGATGTCGAGCCTCAAACGGTCTTTCTCGTGTACAACTGCGCGTATATGAGAGAGATTTGCACCAACTACTTCAACTATGCCGCGACACCTCGCGGACAGAACCGCCCATACCCAACACGCTTTGGCTATGACCTGAACACGGGCAAGAGGAGGCGCAGCGGCAAGAGGCGCGATAAGTCCTGCCCTACAGGAAAGACGTCAGGATGGTCGACCTTCCACTCCTGTCCCGAGCCCAACCAGCAGAGACCGATGCGCCACGATGGTGAATGGCCTCACATTCAGCTAGAGTCAAGCACCACGGGCAGCCTCATCGCTCACATACGCGACCCTACCACCGGCCAAGTCCTGGAGGAGTCCAAGATTCGCTACTCATGTGACGAGTTCCCGCCAGCCACCTGGGTGGAGGGCGGTAGCGGAATGAACTCCCCAGAAGCCTCAGCCGAGGACGCCCAGACGCGATGCGCCGCCATGCGCTGCGGCAAGGGTCTCAACGGTGTCAAGATCAAGGCCGAGCAGGACTGGCAGGCCGTTGCCCACGGCCGCCTTCGCGAGCAGCTGCTCACCCTCGCCAGACCGTTGGGACCGAGGGGTACCAACAAGTACCCATTGTTCAACGAACGTGACAGTGTCATTATGTTCCAATTTCGCGCCATCTACCAGCCAGCCCAACCCTACGCAGCCTGGGTCGTCACCTACGACGACCCTGCATGGAGTATTGTGCAGAGTGAAATCGGCATCACTCAGATCAAGCGCTCCGACGAAAACGTCACAGAACCGTTTCCCCTCACCTGGGCCGATAAGATTTCGGGCGAGGAGTTGATTGCCATGATGAGCAAGGCGAGCCCGCGCCAGTGGCACCCGATATCTCTCAACGAGACCGTCGATGACCTCCCCTCCATGTCTTTGCCAGGCGACATGGCTTCTGACAGCTTGAGCTTCGGGTCAGAAGCCAGCGACGACTGGTGGAAAGACGATGATCTTGAGGAAGAGTATCAGGGTGAGCTCGACGATAGCACAGATGACGATGATGAGAAAGTGTCTTCCGTGAGACATATGCAGAACATCACTCACTTCAATATCCCCCAGCGCGCCTTCGTCCCCGCAGTCAGAGACACTTCCAAGACTGCGAGCACTCCATTGCTTAAGAACGCGACCACTTCCGACATCGAGCGAGCCCGTCGCATTGTACAGGAAGCCATGGCCCAGTCCGCAACCCTCAACAAGGCCCGTCTCGCAAGACCTCTGCGCAACAAGTACAGCCTGAAGCCTGGAACTGTTCTTGGTGCCGGCTCCGGGATCAGGCGCCGCCGTCAAACAGTCACCGCTGGAGAGAGTGATTTGGTCGTCCCTCCGCTTTTGAACATCACCGAGGCCATCGCCTCCGCTGCCGCTCTTTTGTCCGAGGCCGATGCCGCTGGAATCTCAGGCAATCTCACCCGCAATTCGACGCTGCACCAACGAGCCAGGAGGGCCACGTCAGGCACCTACTGGATGGAGCATCTTGGTCGTAAAGGGACTGTTCCTTGGGGTGACGACCCGACATACAAGGTATAAACATTCTCCACTCACCGCGTTATTCAGTGTCTGACAAATTTTGATTTCAGGTCTTCCGCAATGTTCTTGACTACGGCGCTGTGGGTGACGGAGTAACGGTGCGTCAACTCTCATGAAAGAGCTCATCATCCACGATCCGACATCTGACTTGCTTCTAGGACGACACCAAGGCCATTAAAAAAGCTATGGATGACGGCCGGCGCTGCGGCGAAAAGTGCAACGGCTCAACCACTAAGAATGCCATCGTGTACTTCCCGCCCGGTACCTACCTCATTTCTACCCCTATTCCCATGCCTTTTGGCACCCAGGTCATCGGTGATGCGAACAACTGGCCCACGCTTCTGGCGAGTCACAACTTCATCGGCCTGGGAGTGCTCTCCTCTGACGAGTACACGGGCGTGAGAAACCCCGATGGCTCCGATGAACAGTGGTACATCAACACGGCCAACTTCTACCGCCAGATCCGCAACATCCGCATTGACATCACCCAGACCCAGTCAACTCAGGACGTCGCCTGCATTCACTGGCAGGTGGCCCAGGCCACTAGCATCCAGAACGCGGAGCTCATCGCCGCCTCTGGAAGCAAAAACCAGTACGGCATCTTCGCTGAGAACGGCAGCGGTGGCGTTATCTCGGACATCACGTTCCGCGGCGGCGCCTTTGGTCTGTACGGCGGCGAGCAGCAGTTCACGGCGCAGCGCATGACCTTTGACGGATGCACCACGGGCGTGCAGATCATCTGGGACTGGGGCTGGGTTTGGAAATCCATTACCATGACCAACGTCGACGTCGGTTTCCGCCTGCTGGGCGAGGCTGGAGGCAGCGGCAACGTCGGCTCGGCCGCCATATATGACTCCAGCTTCCAGAACGTAGGCACTGCCGTGCTCATAGCACCGCCCGACTCGGCCCCTGGATCTGGAAGCACCGGCGTCATCATCGAAAATGTTTCGTTTCAGGGCGTGGCCAAGGCCGTTGCTGATACCAGCGGGAGCACCCTACTTGCGCCCGCTGGCAAGGTCAGCCACTGGGCACTCGGAACGGTGTACTCGTCCAAGGACCGTCAGTTCTCCATGGGACAGGACTTTGGAACGTTCAACCGGCAGTCAAGTCTGCTGGACTCCAAAGGCAACTATTTTGAACGCGCAAAACCGCAGTATGAGGGCAGTTCCGTGGGCGATTTCGTTCATGTCAAGGACTTGGGAGTCCTGGGAGATGGTGTAACCGACGACACGGCCGCCTTCCAATCTGCTCTCTACTCCAGCTTAGGCAAGATCCTCTTCATCGACGCAGGCTCCTACATCCTGACAAACACCATTACCATTCCCCGTGGTGCCAAGATTGTCGGAGAGACCTGGTCCCAACTTGTCGCAGCGGGATCTCTCTTTGAGGATGCTAAGGCTCCCCGGCCCCTGATTCAGGTTGGCAAGCCAGGAGACGTTGGCGACGCCGAGATGCAAGACTTAATCATCACCACCCGCGGCCCGACGGCCGGCGTCATTCTAATTCAGTGGAACTTGCGAGCAGCGACCGCTGGATCCGCCGCACTTTGGGACGTACACGTTCGTATTGGCGGTGCGACAGGAACGCAGCTTACACCTACCGAGTGCCCGGCCCTAACGAGTGGCATCGCACAGGGGTGCAACGCCGGCAGTTTGATGATGCACATCACATCGACTGCCTCGGGCTACTTCGAGAACATGTGGTTATGGGTTGCCGACCACATGATTGATGATCCTGATCTGGAAGATGCTGCCAACCCCATGGTACAGACATCCATCTACGTCGCCCGCGGTCTGCTCGTCGAAAGCGTCCAACCCGTATGGCTATACGGCACCGCGTCAGAGCACTCCGTCTTCTATCAGTACAACTTTCACAACGCCCGTAACATCTTCGCTGGTCTGCTACAGACCGAGTCTCCTTACTATCAGCCGACCCCTCAGCCGCCTGCCCCCTTCCAAGACGTCGTTGACGTCTTCAAGGGCGATCCAGACTATACTTGCGCTTCTGGAAACGAGTTCAACGGCTGCGATGAGTCGTGGGCAGTCATGATGCGCGGCTGTGCCAACATTTTCGTCGCAGGGGCGGGTGTATACACATGGTTCTCGACTTACACGCAAGAGTGCATTGACCAGCATGCGTGCCAGAAGGTGCTCGTCTTGCTGGACGATAATTACGCCAACGTCCGCTTCCAGAACCTCGTCACTATAGGCGCCAAGTACATGGCCGTCATGGACGGTGTTGGCATCTCGGCCCTCGATAACCTCAACGTCGAGGGGCATCCGCGCTGGTCTCTGATTTCCATCCTGGATGTCACCAACGGCGGCAGAACATTCCAGGAGGTTGGCTGGATTGATCCTAAGATCTGGGCTATGGAGACGCCGGGATTCACTTGCGCGTTGCCGTGCGTGGTCAAGTTGCCGCCTTGGACTGGGGCTACGAGCACCGTCAACTTCCCCATCGTGACAGTGAGCGACGGCGCGTGGACGACAGCCATCACCCGACCGCCCATTACCATCTCAAAGTGGATGTTTCAAGAGGTCACACTCAGTGCCGGAGGAGTTGCCGCCCGGGCGACAGCCGGAGCCGGCTCGGACCTCCAGGCCCGCCAGGCCGGCGCTCCCGTTGCTGAGTTCTGGCCCGTGCCGGCGACGACTCCGTATTGGCCTCCCGTGACATACATCGGCCCGGACGGTGTGGCAGCAACCACCACACTCAGCATGCCCTTTCCGACTCCCCCGGCTTTGATCGGGCCGGACGCGGCGGCGCCTCCGGCTGGGAGCTGGCCCAAGAGGGCGGTACAAGCTTTCGCCGGCGCAGGATACGACCCCTTCGTGGACCAATGCTACTTTGCAGACTTCTCCTGCCCCAACCCTTGGTCTGGTTACGGCGAGGCCGAAGATAGCCCCGATGACCCCGAGGACCCGTACGACGAATATGGCCCCGAAGGCAAAGTTACCTGTCCTCCCGCGACGTCGACGAGCGCCACATCCAAGTCCGCAGTCCCAACCCAGCCGACGCAAGCTGTGCCCGTACCCGTGCCCGCCCCGTCGCCGCTCGAACATGGAAACCCGATTGACAACAAGAAGAAATGCTACAACGCCGGACGCGGCGCTGACCACACACGAATCGACAACGCCATCAAGTCTTTCTGCAACCAGCTGGGTGACGAGGGAAGCGTCATCCGCAATAAGTTCCACCTGGCGAAGACTGTCGAGTTCCCGAGGAGGTCGGGCGAGCTCGGGCTCGAGGTTGTCATGGAGTTTACCCTCAAAAAGGGCTGCGAGTGGACGACGGACTTCGACCAGTGCGCCCGCTACCTGAAGGTGCCGGTGGATAGCTGCGACTGCGGCGGCGTGGATTCGAAGCATGGCGGAACAGTCACGAATAGTTGCTACTTCTGGAGACTCGACCCCAACAACAAGTGGTGAGATATCTACTTAGTTTTTGGGGATAGGTGATAAGCCGAAGCGGCGAGGCTTTGGAAGCTTTCGGAGAAGCTGCTGGGTCAGGAGTTCTCATTCGAAGGGGAAGAGACGACGAGACCCGGAGCATGGCGCTTCGCTAGACAGGTAGTAGGAAGCCGCCACAAAATCCAATACAGAATTCGTTTCAAGATGTGCCCTGATTCCCGATATCCGATTATCTACTGACGAGTGCATCAAGACCGTCCGCGACTACCATGACTTCCTCAAGGACATGGACCTTCCCGATACAGAAGTGATGCAACAGCCTGAGGGGGGCTGATCGAGCATCACCTTCGAAAACGAGCGGCCCCTGAAGAAGACAAGCATGGTCGTCTCCCTCCTGTGCCATCTTGCCCAAATCGACCGGTTCCCCGACTGCCAGCAATGCAAGAACGGCGACGAAGAGGTCAAGACCCTGCAGATGGTCTCAGAAAACCCCGATATCTGCGACGAGATGCCTTGTCACGCGGCCGGCCTCGCCCAGGGCCTAGAAGAGAGTCCCATCTTCCTTCTCGACACGGAGTTCGGCGTCATCCACGAGTGGTAGTCGCCACGAGGAAATTATAGAATACTGCTCGCGCAAGCCGATCGACTGTGAACGCGGACTTGAGCCGCGGGGTTGGTACGACGTCGTGCCCGACGCGCAGGCCGGGTGGCGTCCAGATGTTCTTGCATGGGCCGTCGTGGACTATCTAGAGATGCGCAAAAATGAGCCAGCTGAACTTTGTCTCACATGGCCCGAGGTCCGTTTTGGATATCTACACTCCGCATGAGGACGACCCTGAGGATATATGTTGGAGACGTTGAGGGGCATTTATCGCGAACATGGCTGGCCTGACGTCAAAAACTTCCGCAAGAGGGAGTGTCTGGACGCTGTGCAAAAGGCTATGAAGGGAGCGTTGGCCTGATGTCCATCACTTGCCCTAGATACTTGTAGTAACGAAAGACAAAACACGAAAGGTCATTCAAAAAGATGTGGCTAATCGGGTAGTGTTATTTACTTATCTAGGTAGTGTCCCCTATTATTCGTAATTATAGAATGATAGAAGTAATAAAAAGGATAATAACGATGGACGATGATAATAATAGATAGTAATAATAACGAAAGTGAGAATAGGAAATATATTCACTTTAGAAATAAACTACGGATTAGATACTTGTATATAAATACTACTAGATAGCTAAATAAAACTGCCCGACTAGCAAAACTCTTTAGAAATGAGTTCAAAATATATCTCCTGGCACCAAGCTAACTTGCCTGTTGTTGTTCTGCTAAGAAAAAGAACCGAAAAGAGAGCATACAGTCTCCTCAACTCCGCCTCCAAACCGCAAAGAGCCAGTGTTCACAAGATCTAGTTCAACTCACACAAACACACCAGACAAAAAAAGCCCACGACAACTTCATCCCCGAGACACCACCACTCCCTCCCCCCTAAATCGCCGAATCCTCACACTCAGCAACCCAATATTCTCAGCCCCTAAATCCACAAAAGGCTCAGCCCGTCTCACCATCTCTCCGTCCCTCCAACGTCCCTCCCTGCTGCCCACCCATCCACACACACACACACACACACACACAACCCAAAACATCATCATCCGAACCCCCTCACCATGTCCACCCAACACCACACGCAGCCATATCCCAGCGCCCTGTGTATCGATGTTCCTCCCCCTTTCCAGAAAATTTATGAACCCTGTGCCAATGCGCCTCCCAGCATCATCCTCTTTCTCCCGTTTCCCCTGAGTACATACGGAAGTGAGGAAGAAGGAAACGGACAACGCCGGCGCCAAGCCAACGACAACATCATCATCATCAGCAAACTACTGAAAAGTCTGGACGAGAAAGACACGTGACAGTGCGACGTCCGAACAAAAATTTGCGTGTCCGTTGACCTGAATGGCCACCAGACGGACATGCTTCTGTCAAAGGGGTTCCCCCATGGTTTGCATGTCCGGGACGAATCACGGACGTCCAAACAACTCCGGACGAAACACGCGACGGCCCGATGCAAGTTGTGAGACCGGACTAGCATCTCAGATCAGTGTCGTCAGCAGCACGCCCCAAACTTCAGTCACAAATATACTACAATCACAAAGTGAAAGGAAAAAAAATGAGTCCTCCAAGACGCCTGTCCGAGACAGGGAATTATGGTATCTTGTATGTACAGGCTTCCACTGAGCTCCTAGCCATACACACCGATGAGTAGAAAATACGTGTCCCCTCTCTTGAACGCCCTTTTTCGCTATGAGGCCGGCCAAATGGTGCCGCAAGACGTGTCTTGGCCATCAAAATCACCTGGGCCATCATGCCATGCAAATGCAATTCGTAAAAACCATGCCTTATCCAACGCCGGTATCGAATGATGTGGTTCAGTCGCCGCTCCACTCCTCTTTTTGGGTCTCTCACATCACAATGCAGTCCTTGTCCTTCTCCTTGTCATCTGCGTTCTTCTTAATCTTGCCGTTTCGGGGCGGCGCGACCTCCATTGGCGTGCCCCCGCTGACGGCGGCTTGAATGATAGCGAGACGCTGCTTCGCACGTTCATCGCCAGTGTCGGCAGCTTTCACGTACCAAACGTTGGCCTCCAGGATGTCTCTCCTACAGCCAATGCCCATCTCTGTAAAGTAGCCCACGGCGTACTGAGCCTTGACGTAGCCTATTGGTCTCTTGTTAGCAATGATCTCAATGTGAGCATGTGCGTTACTGGACCACTCACCAAGCTCTGCCGAACGACGCGCCCATTCGTATGCCTCCTCCTCGTCCTTCTCCAGAATCGGCTCGGCTCCGACCATATACCACGCACAAAGCCCCATCATGGCACCCGCATGGCCGCGTTCAGCAGCTCCCGTGTAGAAGTGAACGCTCAGTGCCGGGTCCCGAGGACAGCTCAGCTTGCCGTGCTCGTATGCCTCGCCCATGCGAAAGTTGGCTTCCGGATGGCCTAGCTCTGCTGCGGCGGTGAACAACTCGGCGGCGTAGGTTTCGTCGCGGAAGATGTCGTCACCGTAGCCAGTCTCGTAGAGGCAACCCAATTGATACGGAGCAGCACTGTATACTGAATCCGCTGCCTCCGCGGCCAACTTCATCCATTTGATACCCTCCTTGTAGCGCTTCTCTCCCAAATCGCCCGAGAGACAGGCCTTTCCAAGGCGAGACATGGCACCAGGATGCCGCTTCGATGCCGACATGCGCAAGTACTGAACAGCCTTAGCCGGGTCTTTGCGGCAACCCCATCCAAACTCATAGCACAGCGCAGCGCGGTATGCAGACTCAGCGTGGCCGTGCTTGGCAGCCTGAACGAAGAGAGGGAAGGCCTGGTTATAGTCCTCCTTTCCTTTGCTAAAGAGACCGGAGGCATATCCATCTGCCACATAGTATTGTGCGAAAGGATAACCGTTGCTAGCGAGCTTCGTCAATATTCCCTTTGCCTCCTTCAAGAGCTCATGAGGCGAGTTCGGGCCATGCTGAGGGCTTGAATTGCCTTTGCGCGGGGCGGGCTCGCTCGCGTCAAGACCCTGTTCTTGAGCAGTGGAAATCAAGAAGACGGCAAAAGAGTATTGGATGGAGAAGTCATTCGTCTTCTTCACGTTTTGGCGATACATCTCCAGCGTCTTCTGGGTGCCCAGAAGCGACGCATTGTTACCCACAGCGCTCTGGAGCTGATTGTTGTTCAGGTTGATGGGTGCGGGAGCTGGCTGCGGGTATGGCACGTTCAACAGCTCTGCGTATGAGACCGGTCTGTTTTCGGGCGACTTGCGGGTGCCAGAGGGGGTTCTCATGTGGGATCCTCCGGGCATCAAATTGGGCGAACGTCCTCTAGGCGCATAGTCCGAAATTGCAGAGTAGGCAGACGAGGGCCGGGGCATCGAGGTTCTTCTCGTGAAGCCGGTGGGCGTCAAATGGCGGTTGACTGGTGTTCCGTCGGCGTTCAAGCTGGGGTTCGAGGACGAACGGCGAGCGTCCATCTCATGAGGGACGCTACCGACACGAGGAGGGTATTCCTGGTGGTGGTAGTACTGGAACATGGGAACCGACTGGTTTCCGGACATGTTGCCGTCAACAACCGAGCTCCCGGGAGAGTCATCCTCCTTGTAATCGGAGGACTCATTGTTACCAGAAACTGAGCTTGCGCTCGTAGTCGCGGAGGATTCTGCCGACGCCTGTTGTAGATTTGTGCTCGTGGTCGTGTCCGACTCTCGGCTTTGACGGTTACCGTCTGGTGACCGCGGTATGCTGTAGCTGTCGGAATCCCGGGTCCCCCTTTTCGCGCGGTAAATCTGGTCATTGCCGGGTCGAGAACTCGCAGGACTCAGGTATTCGGGCTCGGCAGTGTAGGCGGTAGCATTTGTCGTCGTGGTCGCGAGCGGTGGTAGTTGCTTCCCATCACGACTGTGCATTTGACGTGCAGAAGACTGGTCGTAGGCGGAGGAGTGGTTTGGAGGGGGAGGGGCATTTTGTGGTCGGTAGTGGTCTGCGGCAGGAAACTCTGCTTGGTAAGGTTGCGCCATCTCGATGTTCGCATTGGATGGCTGAGCCCAGTTGTCGTCCTGAAAGTTTACCCGTACTGGAGAGACGGGAGCGTCACGAATTCGGGCGGACCCCTTGCGGCCGGCGTCATCGCCTATGGCGAGGCGCTCGGGAGACATGTGCGTTCGTAGATGATGGTTCGGGCTTGCAGTCGGAGAAATGACAGGCGTTGATGCCGTCGCGGCCGCCATTAGTCAGTTTTGTTGGAAGTCGTTGGCTAGGAGCTGAAGAAAACAAGTGAAAGGAGGAATTAGTTCAAGTTGAATACTATTTAGACATGGAGTGAAGATTTGGGGGACGGGCTCTCTCGCGCATTGCTTGTGGTGCGTGGCATGCTTGACTTGTTATGTAAGTCGGAGACGGGGGGGAGCCTAGGAGACGAGGAGGAGGCAGTAGAGCGAGCGAGACGAGCGAGCGAGCAAGCAGCAAGACCGAGGAGGCAGCGAGCGAAGCAACAAGCCAGCCAGCAGTAAGGTACCTGAGCAGCAGTAGCAAGCAAGCAGCCCTGAGGTACTGCGTACTGCTTGCACCCAAGCCCACCCGTTCTCACCCACTCAACCCACTCTACCCACCCACACACACCACGACTGGAATTGGCACCAGCACTGGCTCGCACAGGGCGCCGGGGCTCATTCGTACAGACGGGCAACAGGCCAGGGCCCTGTTCGGGTTGGATGGCGAATGGTGCCTTGCTAGGGGGTGCGCCTGCTTCTGTAGCGCAGAGGACGCAGAAGGACCAGAGGGACACTTGCGCCCAAGGGGGCTAGCCGGGGCTTGCCTTGAAAGAGGGAGGGCTGATTGACAAACCAGCCCGACCACTGACAAGGCAGGTACGGACACAGCTGCAGTGCGTGTGTGGTGCCGACGGTGTAAGGTCGTTCAGGTTTGAAGGGGGGAGGGAACACGAAGGGAACGGGAATACGGTAGCTTACCAGAGACGAGGGAGGCGACACGTACAACGGGCACCCCAGGTATCCTGCAAGCCCAAAGTGACGTCGCGAGCCACAAAGCCGAGTTGT